GAAGATCCAGACATCTAAGGTCTGAATCTGAAGCCTTTTATAGGCTGTTTTTTAGGCTTTCTTGATTGCATAGAGCTCAGCATCATAGACTTCACATTCTTTGCCTAAGTTCCAGGCCCAGCATTCTTGATTGGTGAAGGCTTTATTAGTAATAAAGATACCAGCCCCATTATAGCCCCTATCAGACTGGGAGCCATCTGAATAGATGATTATCTTATCATCTATAGGATCATGTGATTGGGCCCATCTAGAGACTAGTCCTTTATGGTCTAGGGCAGCTTCTTCTTTAGACTTTTCTGATATAGTGATTTTAACTATATCATCTAGGGTCTCTTGCCATGGGGCTTCTATATAGCTATGATCTTTTATCAGGTTATATAGTCTTTGCATGACTTTCTCTTGTCTCTGAACTGCAGATAACTTTGGCAGTTGATATCACACCCATTTAGAAGCCAGTCTCTTCCTTAGAATTATTCAATAAATATTTAGGTAGCTATAATATATTAATATATGTACTCTACTTAGTAATATATATATAAAGCTCTAGTATAGTAGTACTAATCTAGTACATTATAAAAGAGCTAGAGATTTATATAAAAAAGACTAACCTTAGTATTATTAACCTACTATAAAGGAAACCTAGGAAAAAAGTAAAAGGCTTAATTAATTAATAATTAAACAAGAATAATATCTTCTTTTTTTTTATTAAATATAACTATATATAATAAATATAAGTCTAAGACTAATTTTTATTAGATTATTATTAATTTAAAACATTATATTAATTTTAGAATACCTAATAACTTATAAAATAAAGATAGATTAAAAAGCAGCTAAAAAAGACTATATCTTTATTAAGATAATACTTAATTTAAGACTTATAAAAAAGCTTTTAATTATAAAGATTAAGATTAAATAAACTAAAATACTTTTTTAAATATTATAAAAAGTATAACTAGAATCTATATTTATTTAATAGCTTTATATTAATATTAATATTAATTAAGGTTATCAAATCTATAATTATTATATTTATTATAATAATAGAGATAATTATTTCTTAAAATCTAAATTATAATATATTATTTTTAAATATATTCTAAGGATAACAAAATCATAATAAAGGGTTTAATAATAAGTTTATAAAAAGGCTAAGCTATAAATATATATAATAATTAAAAAATTTTTAAATAATTATATTATAAATTAAGTTATAAAATAATTTAAATAATTAATTAGCTATAGTAATAAAAATAAAAAAAGTTATTTAAATATAAAAAGCTTTCTAAAAGTTACTAAAATAGGTTAAAAATTGAATATTATTTTAGCTTATATTTTATTATTTAATATTTTAGATAAGGTTTTTAAAATAATAAGAACTAGCTAGCTAATAAATTTAATAATTTCTTTAATAATTATATGTAGTTAAAAAGCTTATATTTCTAAATGTATAATTTATATCTTATTAAAATAAATATATATTATTTAAAGATGAAATATTTAATAATATTGTTATTAACTTAAATTTAAATATTTTAAGTATTTAATAGTATTTCTTCTACTTAATTATTATATAATTTAAGGAAAAAAGATCTCTTTAAATATAATAAAATAAAGTAATAACTCCTTTTATAGATATATTATTATTATTATTATTATTCTTCCATTTTAGAGAGCGTTTTTCAGTCAGAGACTATGCACGCTCTGCCTACCACCTAGGCAGTAGGGCTTAGTAGCTAGTATCTATATACAGGTGGGTTATGCTATAGACCAGTCAACAGTGGGAACCTTCTATGAGGGACAGAAATAGGGAATGAGAGACAGGCTGTAGTATAATGTAAGAATCAAATGTTAAGGAACAGTAGGTATAGGTGGATTTAACAAAGAAAAAGAAATGAGAGAAAGAACAAGAAAAAAAAAAGGGAAGTCAGGATAGGAGAGGTGGCTTAATAAGCATGATTAGATAATCTATGCCTAGTAAGCCTGGTTCTATGGGTTAGACTAGGTAGTAGGGTTCGTTGCTTAATCATTAGCT